TATATATATATATAGTTTCAGATGTATGGAGTCAAATATTCACTTTAAGCAATCTCCATCCTTGTTGTGTTCTAGTCGATTGGGTGTAATTGGTAAAGATAATGTGATGCTTAAGTTAATTCATTATCTGAACGGTATAGTAATTAACATTGTAATAAATGCATCGCAAAAGTCTCACCAACCATATCTTTGACTTGTATTTTTAGGTTTTTCCACAGGTTTTTTATTAGGGTTTGCCTAATCATCACCTAATTCTATCAAAATTATTACTAACCTATTTAGTTTGTCTAGATGATTAGTTGATACTGATGGACATTGGTCGGTCTCATCCTAGTTTGGATGATCAGTTCACCGCATTCGGTTAGTATAAGTTTAGGTCATTACTTATACAGTACAAATAGCTCTAAGACTTAAGCTTGAACTTAAGTCAACAAGCAAAAAGGGTTTGTAGATACGGATGTTAGGGATGGAAGGTTGTATTGCTTCGCGAATTGTTTTGCTGCCTTATTAACCATTGTGTTTGGTCGGTTTGTCATAAAAATGTGATCTTCGGGTCAATGATTTGACATTGGCAATGAAGGGTTGTGCCACCTCGTTAAGCTAGTTACCAAGTTTGACGTAGCATGCGAAGCATTGCACTGCCCTTTGTTGTTGGATGATGTTGGATCTGATAATTGTGAGAGCACCATGTGTCGTAAAAAAAAAATCTATAAATAGGGGCCAAGTGGTCCCGTCTTTTTCACCATTTTTGCTTTGACGGTCATCTTTGCACCATTCGACGATATTTTTTTCCATTCAAGGTAATAAAATGTTTGTCATCGACATCTCTTCGAGAGGTTCATCTGGTCAGGATGATAGAGGGTACGTTGATGATGTATCAACATCTTTATCGTCACCAAGGTCGTTGTCAAGAAATTGGGGGGTCGTCCGAGAGAGATTGGACATTTGTAAATAGTGTTACGACACCAATTCAACTTGTTAATAAATGTTCAACCGAGGAAGAAAGACCATTCGGGGAACAAGATCCATAAGGGGAGGTTGTAGAAGAAGTGAATGCCAACACTATTGGAGTAATCAAAGTGGATGTTATTGTCGAGGGCAATGTAGAAAACCTGCCTGAAGTCTTTGTATGTCTAGACTACACATGAGATTCGTGAATATGCCACACATTTTAGATGAGGCAATAATCTAATAGAGCTTGCCAGTCAATCCAACATTTTAAAGGATAACATGGTGGACAACTCTCTGTGGCCTTGTGTCTGCTGAGGGAACGATCATGTATGCCATGACAAGGGTACTTTAGAGTTGTACTTCTTTGTCTACTCATGTTTCTTCCCTGATGATGTGATCATATTCCCCATCACCTAACTTGTTCGTGCACATATCCTTCAATGATTTTCAAGATGGAGTTTTACAGGAGTTGAACGTCGCTCCTATGCAGCTCCATCTGAACGCTTGGGCTAATATGTAGTCATTTGGTATTTAGTGTAAGTCATTGGGAATGAATCCAACCCCCGCTTTGTTCCTCCACCACTATTGCACACGTCCGAATGTTCGGAAAGGATGAGTGTCGTTAATAAGCGAAAACAACTAGAACCTATTCCAGCTTTTTGCAGCCTCCTACAAAAGGTTTCAAGGACAAGTTCTTTAAGGTTACTATCACAAATAAGGGTTACAAGCTATTTTTTGATGGGGATGATCAGTCAAAATTCTCCCTTTATTGGACACAAAACACTACGATGATGACCCCCGAGGAGTTCATCACCTTCGAGGTTTTGGAGTAATTAACCCATAAGGTCGCTCTCATCATATCGATCGAGACATTTATGATAACTTGTCTTTCTTTGTTTGGTCCTTTTCTGTCTTTAACTTGGTTAAGTTTTCTTTCTTGTTACAAATATCATGGCTCGCACCAACTCACACAATCTCAATTATCTCAAGAAGTTGATTGATAAACGTTCATTAAGACCAGAAGGTGTAAAGGCTGCCACCAACAAGGGCCTTTCGACTAAGGCGTAAGGAGAGAGGGCATCGGTCGACTCAACTGATGCCTCTGGAGTTTCTCTATCTCAATGTTACTCCCTTCATCATCCTTCAAGCCGATCAGGAGAAGGCAAGGAAAAGGAAAGGGAAGAGAAGACATGACAAGCGATCGACCTCCACCCCTTGCTCCTCTAAGCGCAATCGATAAGTTGGGGAGAATCCAATCCCTCTTGCTTAGGGAGTCTTTAGCATCGGCTTTAGGATGGGAGATAATCTCTCATTTCATTTCAGTATAAAAGATAATGATGTTTTTGGGTTGTTTGAGGCCGAGGCACTAGACGCGACAAACAAATTCACCCTCAAGGCGACTTTATTGGATCAATTGGTATCACTTGGTATCGACCAGTGAGAGGTAACGTGATTGGACAAGGAGCTAGCAAAGGCCTAAAAAGAATCGAGAAAGAGCCAAAAAAGTCTTGCATTGCCTTGTAAGCAAACGAGGCTTTGACGGCCAAGGTAGACGTATTGAAGGTTGCCCACGCTCCAAGCAGGCAAAAGATGGACGAGTATGCCGCCAAGATTGTTGTCTTAGTACAAAAAGAGAAAGGTTTGTCCGCCGAGGTGTAATGCCTCCTGCGTAAGAATGACGACTTCTGCCTTTCTCAATAAGTCGATCGCAAGTAGTTGTGGGACTTGGACAAAAGATGCAAGTCTTTGGCTGTTGACTTGGAGGAAGCCGAGGGACAAGTGATGATCTAATATGAGGTCGACTTCTAGTGGGCCTTGGATCAAGTGACCTTCCTTTATGGCATACCCATTCATGAGAGTTAGTTTGACATTCAAAAGGCCCTTTATAACGGTTAGGTCATGGACATTCAGGATATATTAGACGAGGAAACAATCGAAGATGTTGGTGAGGACATCATGAAGCCAAATTCCTTCTCAACCCCATCGACTGGACAAAGATTGTCGAAGACATCCCCGATCCTCTTGGGTGTTGAATTTAACTTGTATTTTTTGTAAATTTTTTGAGGAAAGATCCAATGCGATTGACAAAGATAAGTTTTTTTGTAAACTGATCGCTACCAGATCAACTTTGTTATATGTAGTTCTCCCTTTTTAACTAAAGCAATACAAAACCTTCTTTTCTACCATCATATTCTTGTATTTGTTGTCCTTTTGATTGATCTTTTTATATTGTGATTTAGCATTTTACCTTAACGCGTTTTGCCACTAAACATTTGGTAGGGGTTCTTTTTAAGCTCGTCCTTAACCAAGCACTTCACATTTATCATCTATTTGAAAATTTTGTAAGTGATTTTTAAGTTCCTTAAGAATGATCGTCTATGCGGGGGTTCACTTTGGTGAACTCGTCCCTGAGTGTTAGTGTGTGCTTTTGTATGTTGATTAGATGCACTTCAAGTAGTTTTACACTAAATGGTTAGGGGTATTTTTCAGAATTCTTCCTTATCTGATAGTTTGTGTCACTTGTATTTATAAGTTTTTTATAGACTTTTGATTAGAGTCGACTTAATCATTAAACTTTATTATTAACCTGTTTAACTTATTTGAAAGATTAGCTGTATTTGATGGACACCACTCAATTTCATTCTTGGACGATTGATTCCAATAATTTCGCTTATATATATATATATATATATATATATATATATTATGATAATCCAAATGATTTATGGTCAAGAATTTTTTTATCCGTAATTTATTTAATAAACAAAATTTTATTGTTGTTTTGAACTTGGAGGGACGGGGCACGAAAAAGATTTATGCAAATAGTGTCAGAATAAGGAGTAATTAGCAATTTTGGAAATTTAAGAAAGGTTACCCGCGGAACGAGTTGCAGGTGATGAATAACCCGAACCCTCTAAACCAAAGGGAGGGGGAAAAGAAGAGCGCAGAGGTACCGTCCTTCCACCCATCAATGGAGAATTTGCAAAGTGCTCTTAAAGATTATAGCTTATCAGTTTCCACCGTCCCAGAAAAGGGTCGTTCTCTCTTCGCTTCAAGGGATTTCTATCCAGGTCTCTCACTCTAGTTCCAACACCTTTTCTCGCTTCATTCATTACTTGTTTGTTAGTTGAATGAGTTTAATCAATGTCAAATGCGTCGCTGATGGTGCAGGGGATGTGATTATAGGCCAAGAACCTTACGTTTGTGTTCCAAACAACTCCTCACTTTCCACCCCCAAAAGGTGTGATGGATGTTTCATTACATCTGATGTCCTTAGAAGGTGCTCACGTTGCCATGTTGCATACTATTGCGGAACCGCATGTCAGGTCTTGTTCTTCTTCATCATCTCTTCTCCTTTCACTGATAGGTTCAGTTCCTACAAAGTTTGATTCTAAATAATGCTAATGGGGTTAATAATTTATTTGCTCTATCAGTGTAACTTTCGTTGTGTTTTTTAATGCTGTTCAGAGGTCAGAGTGGAAGCTGCATCGCCTTGAGTGTGAGGTCCTCTCAAGGCTTGACAAGGATAAGAGAAAATCTGTCACGCCATCCATACGGCTGATGGTGAGACTTTACTTACGGAGGAAGTTGCAAGATGATAAGGTATATAAAAAGTTAATATTTGAGTAATGTATTGGTGCACGAAAGTCAGATCTGCTTGTTACATTATGAAATTTAAATCTTACCCCATTTTCGTTGTTGTATGGAATATGTCTGGGAAGTCAATACAAACATTTATTAATGCAATGTTATAAATGTGAAGTCTTTAACTGAGCTAAATGACTTTGTATGGTTCATGGACTCAGCCTCTCCTAATGGTTGTTGTTGTTACCAAAATGCAAATCTTATCGTTTTCAGTCAATTAAATGCTGATATCAGTTTTTCGAAACCTATTTTCTTTTTATATTTCCAAAGACCATTATATTTTGTGTGTATATATATATACCTGTCATTAACTTGTATTCTGGAAATATGCTTGATGCTCTTGTATTCTCCCTGGAAATGGAGGCCTTAGTTATGGGCTATATTATTCATTTAGCAATCACATTAGCTAATGTTACAATCCCAGAAGATTAACGTGTGGAGGAAGTTAGTTCAAATATGACTGGAGCTTGCTTCATTAGATACCAAAGAGAGTAATTATGGACTGTTATGCTTTATAAAGAATATGGTAGAATGTTAATATTCGTTGCTGACTGTTCTGTAGGATACTTAACTTCCTGGTTTCTTTCATAATTTCTATATTCAGTTGTACTAATATGAATTTCAACCTTGCCTTCAATGACTTATCCTTAAAATTATTTTCTGTGGCTATGAAATGTTTCTCCCGTTTACTCAGAAAGAATTTTTCAACCCTATTCAACATTGACCAGCTTTAAGAGAGAAATTTATTATTCGTTCTATTGCTAGGTCACCCCAAGCACTGCTATGGACAACTACAACTTGGTGGAGGCATTAGTGGCTCGTATCCTTTTTATTACTATTTTTACTGAAAGTGTATTGAAATGAATTTAGTTTTTTCTCCATTTTCGTACTTTTCATGATGATCGTTCTTTTTAACATTCACTTTCATGAAGACATGTCTGATATCACAGAGGAGCAGCTGGTGCTTTATGCACAGATGGCTAATCTTGTATATTCCATATTGAAATGGCCGGAAATCAATATAAAAGAGATTGCAGAAAATTTTTCTAAGGTCTTATGATGCTCCTATAGCTAGATCATTTGATATAATTATTATAAACTGTTCTCATTTAAAATCACAAGCAGCACTCTCCATGACAAATAAAAAAGGTTATGTTCATGTGGATTTAGACCTACTTGTTTTAGACATAAGATCCTGTTTGTGTGAATTTGATTCTGATGATGCCATTCTAAGCTCTGATCTAACCCTGCAGTTTGCATGTAATGCTCATACTATTTGTGACAATGAGTTAAGACCTGTGGGAACAGGATTGTATCCCGTAATTTCCATAATCAATCATAGGTAACCACTTATTCTACAGACTCGATATATGTGTCTATTATCCTATATCTATTATCCTATTTGTTTGTCGTGTTCTAATCTTGGTTTTACCATATAGTTGTTTGCCCAATTCTGTGTTGGTTTTTGAGGGAAGGTCAGCATTGGTACGTGCTGTGCAACATATACCCGCAGGTACTGAGGTAAGTGTTTCTTTTCTAAATTATAAGTCAATTATAATTTGCAATATTTAGTTCATTGGTTTGTAGAGCAAGCAATGTCATTTGAGTATTATTTATAAAATCTCAAAACAAGCTTGGGCAGAAAATTGGGATTTTAAGCATTTTGTTTCATGTCTTTTAGCCTCTTATGTATTTCTGTGAACATAAACTTCATTCTTAGCTTTATATATTTTCTGTATGTCTCATATTATTGTTCTCTAAGTTGTGTCCACTTTTAACTGGATTTTTTTTTGGATAACTACATTTTGACTGTAGATGTAAATGGAAGCTAAACTATCATAGACAGAATTGTTATTTCTATTAATCCATTGAAAATTGAAGATTTGTGGCTTTTCTATGTTAATTAGTACTAAAACTCAAAACTCATGCAGCCGTTTTTTGGAGGAAAACTAGGCACCTTTAAGGTAATTTAGTCTTTCAAGATTTCCATGTAGGTGTGGTATCAATAAGATGGTCAGTTCAAGTCAAAGATACAAACAAATGTGTGCATTTAAATAAATGGTTGATTTTATTTTGTTTTTTGATAAATGATAGGTTCAAATGGTTAATGATGATTCTTAGATATCTTAGATTATTAGATATCTTATATTTATCTTTTATCTTCAATTACTTATCTTCTGTTATTTTGTTATTATTTTTTAGTTTGTATTTTAGGCTTAGTGCATATTTCCTTCATTATAAATAAAGTATCCTATATGTATTTTCTACGCAAAGAAAATTAATTTCATACATAGTTTTTCACTATATTCAATAATGATAAATTCAACCTAAATATGGGTAAAGTCAAAATTGTTGTCAAACTTTAAGTACCACTTCTGGCCCCAAATCCCAATTGTTTTGTTGAATCACCTTTAGCTTGCTCGAACATCAGACAACTTTGCCTTGACACTGCTTCCTGTTTTAATTTGTTATTTTTGCCACTATTTTATCTTGTGCATAACTGGCACCTACTTAACTTCACAGTTCTTAATTATTTCCACTGTGAAGCAGCTGTTCAATGTTTGCTACTCTCTAACTCTGCTAAGTTTTCTGGACTAGAACATACATTTCTCTAATGGACTTGATTGACAGTTGCACCTCTTGTTTTTTTCTTAAAAACTTTTTGGATGGGGTAGATGTCATGTCATATCCACTAGATGACGATAGTGTCAATTTAAAATTACTTGAAGATGTTGCATAATATATTCTTTTCCAGATCATGTTCAATACAATTTTCTGTGTTTTAAGGTAGTGATAAGTTATATAGAGACTGCTGGAAGCACAATAACTCGACAGAGGGCTCTCAAAGAGCAGTATCTATTCACTTGTACATGTCCCCGCTGTTCTAAAATGGTACTTGTTAAATTAATCTGGGATATATTTTTTTAGGCTTTCATGGCTTATTTCATTTCCATAAAATTGGCATGCTTTTATTAGCTAATTCAGTCTCGTTAGTTTTGAAGGGCCAGAAAGATGATATACAAGAAAGTGAAATTTTAGAAGGATATAGATGCAAAAATGAAAAATGTGGTGGTTTCTTGCTTCGAACAACCGGTAGGTAACCTGTGGCTGTAATAAGTGTTCAAGTATCAGGAGGGGAACATTATAATGTTCTACTGATTTTGAAATCTGATGGTACATTTGTACATCCTCCTCTTTATGAACAATACTTAGATCAAGGATAGACAACCAACCTTTAAGGTGCTTTTATGTCTTTCTTATCAATGACCTTGGTTTGTTTTTTATCTGCTAAAATTGAAGATGGGAAAGGATTTCAATGCCAAGGTTGCCAACTAGTTATGGGCAAGGAGGAGATAAAGGAAATTATAACTGAAATTGAATTGCTATCTGAAGAAGCAGCTTCTAAGTCTTCTTTCTCTTGCAGTATCCTTTAATGTTTCTATTAAAATATATATAATTGCCGTTGCGATTGCCTAAACTTTTCTCCTTTTGTATTCAAATATTTTTCTTTCTCTATCTCTCCCTTGTGGTGGCCTTGATCCATGTGCAAATAAAAGGGATTCCTAGTTGTTCATGATGTCAAATCCTTGACTGTATATAGGTTATCAAGAAGTTATTTCCATTTATAAAAAGATTGAGAAACTGCAAACAAAGCTCTATCATCCTTTCTCAATTAATTTGATGCAAACTCGAGAGAAGATTTTGAAGGTAAGCTCCTGCTTGTCGTTCTTATCTACTCTACTCTTTTTCCTTTATTAATATATCTTGCTCGATGATATTGATTATCAAACTCAACTTTGAAATACATGCTTTAATTAGTACAATTCTTATGGAGATTTCTTCAGTGAATGCAGATCTTATTTTTGACTTTTTAGTAGAAACAAATTCTCTTGCTCTTTTGTGGTCACTAAATTATATTACACACTAATCAATTAATATGGATTGATATGATTTATATTCTGTTTTGGATGACGCTGCACACAGTATACCACACTTCATGACAAAAGGAGCCTACCTCCTTCGTGTATATCCAAAGTTTGCTTAATTTATTAATAGACTCATTTAATAATTTATTAATTAAAACCTATGCCTGTCTTCTGTTTTTTTTTTTTTTTAAGCGAAATTATTGGAATCAATCGTCCAAGAATGAAATTGAGTGGTGTCCATCAAATACAGCTAATCTTTCAAATAAGTTAAACAGGTTAATAATAAAGTTTAATGATTAAGTCGACTCTAATCAAAAGTCTATAAAAAACTTATAAATACAAGTGACACAAACTATCAGATAAGGAAGAATTCTGAAAAATACCCCTAACCATTTAGTGTAAAACTACTTGAAGTGCATCTAATCAACATACAAAAGCACACACTAACACTCAGGGACGAGTTCACCAAAGTGAACCCCCGCATAGACGATCATTCTTAAGGAACTTAAAAATCACTTACAAAATTTTCAAATAGATGATAAATGTGAAGTGCTTGGTTAAGGACGAGCTTAAAAAGAACCCCTACCAAATGTTTAGTGGCAAAACGCGTTAAGGTAAAATGCTAAATCACAATATAAAAAGATCAATCAAAAGGACAACAAATACAAGAATATGATGGTAGAAAAGAAGGTTTTGTATTGCTTTAGTTAAAAAGGGAGAACTACATATAACAAAGTTGATCTGGTAGCGATCAGTTTACAAAAAAACTTATCTTTGTCAATCGCATTGGATCTTTCCTCAAAAAATTTACAAAAAATACAAGTTAAATTCAACACCCAAGAGGATCGGGGATGTCTTCGACAATCTTTGTCCAGTCGATGGGGTTGAGAAGGAATTTGGCTTCATGATGTCCTCACCAACATCTTCGATTGTTTCCTCGTCTAATATATCCTGAATGTCCATGACCTAACCGTTATAAAGGGCCTTTTGAATGTCAAACTAACTCTCATGAATGGGTATGCCATAAAGGAAGGTCACTTGATCCAAGGCCCACTAGAAGTCGACCTCATATTAGATCATCACTTGTCCCTCGGCTTCCTCCAAGTCAACAGCCAAAGACTTGCATCTTTTGTCCAAGTCCCACAACTACTTGCGATCGACTTATTGAGAAAGGCAGAAGTCGTCATTCTTACGCAGGAGGCATTACACCTCGGCGGACAAACCTTTCTCTTTTTGTACTAAGACAACAATCTTGGCGGCATACTCGTCCATCTTTTGCCTGCTTGGAGCGTGGGCAACCTTCAATACGTCTACCTTGGCCGTCAAAGCCTCGTTTGCTTACAAGGCAATGCAAGACTTTTTTGGCTCTTTCTCGATTCTTTTTAGGCCTTTGCTAGCTCCTTGTCCAATCACGTTACCTCTCACTGGTCGATACCAAGTGATACCAATTGATCCAATAAAGTCGCCTTGAGGGTGAATTTGTTTGTCGCGTCTAGTGCCTCGGCCTCAAACAACCCAAAAACATCATTATCTTTTATACTGAAATGAAATGAGAGATTATCTCCCATCCTAAAGCCGATGCTAAAGACTCCCTAAGCAAGAGGGATTGGATTCTCCCCAACTTATCGATTGCGCTTAGAGGAGCAAGGGGTGGAGGTCGATCGCTTGTCATGTCTTCTCTTCCCTTTCCTTTTCCTTGCCTTCTCCTGATCGGCTTGAAGGATGATGAAGGGAGTAACATTGAGATAGAGAAACTCCAGAGGCATCAGTTGAGTCGACCGATGCCCTCTCTCCTTACGCCTTAGTCGAAAGGCCCTTGTTGGTGGCAGCCTTTACACCTTCTGGTCTTAATGAACGTTTATCAATCAACTTCTTGAGATAATTGAGATTGTGTGAGTTGGTGCGAGCCATGATATTTGTAACAAGAAAGAAAACTTAACCAAGTTAAAGACAGAAAAGGACCAAACAAAGAAAGACAAGTTATCATAAATGTCTCGATCGATATGATGAGAGCGACCTTATGGGTTAATTACTCCAAAACCTCGAAGGTGATGAACTCCTCGGGGGTCATCATCGTAGTGTTTTGTGTCCAATAAAGGGAGAATTTTGACTGATCATCCCCATCAAAAAATAGCTTGTAACCCTTATTTGTGATAGTAACCTTAAAGAACTTGTCCTTGAAACCTTTTGTAGGAGGCTGCAAAAAGCTGGAATAGGTTCTAGTTGTTTTCGCTTATTAACGACACTCATCCTTTCCGAACATTCGGACGTGTGCAATAGTGGTGGAGGAACAAAGCGGGGGTTGGATTCATTCCCAATGACTTACACTAAATACCAAATGACTACATATTAGCCCAAGCGTTCAGATGGAGCTGCATAGGAGCGACGTTCAACTCCTGTAAAACTCCATCTTGAAAATCATTGAAGGATATGTGCACGAACAAGTTAGGTGATGGGGAATATGATCACATCATCAGGGAAGAAACATGAGTAGACAAAGAAGTACAACTCTAAAGTACCCTTGTCATGGCATACATGATCGTTCCCTCAGCAGACACAAGGCCACAGAGAGTTGTCCACCATGTTATCCTTTAAAATGTTGGATTGACTGGCAAGCTCTATTAGATTATTGCCTCATCTAAAATGTGTGGCATATTCACGAATCTCATGTGTAGTCTAGACATACAAAGACTTCAGGCAGGTTTTCTACATTGCCCTCGACAATAACATCCACTTTGATTACTCCAATAGTGTTGGCATTCACTTCTTCTACAACCTCCCCTTATGGATCTTGTTCCCCGAATGGTCTTTCTTCCTCGGTTGAACATTTATTAACAAGTTGAATTGGTGTCGTAACACTATTTACAAATGTCCAATCTCTCTCGGACGACCCCCCAATTTCTTGACAACGACCTTGGTGACGATAAAGATGTTGATACATCATCAACGTACCCTCTATCATCCTGACCAGATGAACCTCTCGAAGAGATGTCGATGACAAACATTTTATTACCTTGAATGGAAAAAAATATCGTCGAATGGTGCAAAGATGACCGTCAAAGCAAAAATGGTGAAAAAGACGGGACCACTTGGCCCCTATTTATATTTTTTTTTACGACACATGGTGCTCTCACAATTATCAGATCCAACATCATCCAACAACAAAGGGCAGTGCAATGCTTCGCATGCTACGTCAAACTTGGTAACTAGCTTAACGAGGTGGCACAACCCTTCATTGCCAATGTCAAATCATTGACCCGAAGATCACATTTTTATGACAAACCGACCAAACACAATGGTTAATAAGGCAGCAAAACAATTCGCGAAGCAATACAACCTTCCATCCCTAACATCCGTATCTACAAACCCTTTTTGCTTGTTGACTTAAGTTCAAGCTTAAGTCTTAGAGCTATTTGTACTGTATAAGTAATGACCTAAACTTATACTAACCGAATGCGGTGAACTGATCATCCAAACTAGGATGAGACCGACCAATGTCCATCAGTATCAACTAATCATCTAGACAAACTAAATAGGTTAGTAATAATTTTGATAGAATTAGGTGATGATTAGGCAAACCCTAATAAAAAACCTGTGGAAAAACCTAAAAATACAAGTCAAAGATATGGTTGGTGAGACTTTTGCGATGCATTTATTACAATGTTAATTACTATACCGTTCAGATAATGAATTAACTTAAGCATCACATTATCTTTACCAATTACACCCAATCGACTAGAACACAACAAGGATGGAGATTGCTTAAAGTGAATATTTGACTCCATACATCTGAAACTATATATATATATTATATATATATATATATATATATATATATATATTCGTCAAAATTACACCATAATGAAATTCTTTATTGTCACTTATTTCAAATTAAAGATTTTAAAGGTTGTGACTTTTATTTGTTCACATTAGTAAATAGATTTCAGAGAGTAAATGAAATGACTTAAGGGAACAAAGAGGAGATTGTTGTATTATTTATTTTGAAGGATTAATAGATGAAAGTGAATAAATTTAAAAAGGAAATTTGAGAAAAATTTAATAGATAAAACAGATAAAATAAAAGCTATAATAAATAAATTAAAAATTACATGTTTTTCCTTGTGATTAAAATTAATATAAATTAAAGAATTTTTGGACTGAAATTATTTAAAAGTAGATGTTGATGATTAGTTTTAAAATTAAAAGTTAATATTTGTAATATTGATATTAAAAATTCTTTAATATATTAATTTAAAAATAAATGTTAAATTAAATTAAAAAAATATTTAACAAATTGGCCAGGGGAATTTATTAGGCTTAAGTGGCACGCAACTTATCATGGCTGTTTACTTATCATGGCTGTTTTCAATGACATGTAGACTCGTGCACTAAAAACAAAAACAAAGATCTTCTTTGAAGTTATGATAAATGATGCATGATTATTTCATAAAACCATACAAACTCTTACGCGACAGTGTTTATCTACACGTCTATTCTCTTATGTGCGGACTGTGAATTCATTACACCACACAAATTAGCACTCCATTCACACGTAAATTCGTTAAAGTGAACAAGATTTCCCTCGCCAATCTGTCTCCTCCTATTATATTTAGTCGGATGTAAACATGTTGTTAAAGAATGGAACCGGATTTACTTTGGAGAAAAAAAAATTTCTCAACCTTTTGACCTTCCTTCCAATAATTATTTTTATATTACCAGAACTTTTGGTATAAAATTCTATTAGACCAAAATCCAAGGCATTATTGGTACAAGCATGATTCCAAGAGTTGTTCTGATGGGCTGGACTCACAAAATCCATTCCCTACTGGATATTGCTTTCTGCACCCGCCAACTTGCTACCTGAACCCCTACACGATTGGTATTACCTGTGTTGCCCCTGGGAGACTTATTTGAAACGGACTCTTCCTTTATTTCTCTAAACTTGTAAACCTTTGTATCATTCTCCTTGTATAATCTTACAGTTCTTTGAAAAGCTCTTAAGTTCTCTACGTTTTAATTTTCTTCATTTGTTTCAATATTTGTGTTTATTTGTTTTTCTTTTAAATATTGTTATAGTCCACTTTTAAATATGCTTATGCAAATTGTTTTCCTTTTCACCGCCACTTTGGTGTCGACACGTATCAGAGCCAAATTTTACAGGAAAATATAGTTTTTATGTACTGTTGAAAGACAATCCAATTCGGTTTCTAATGAAAATATTAATGATAAATTTAGGCATAAATGATACTAAGACTACAATGGGAGTTCACTACAAGTTCTTTCGGTTTGAGATTTGTATCATGGCAAAAGTTTCCCTGCTATCGATTTTGTTTCAACAAGAGCTAATTTATTCAGTTTAGAGAAAGCTTGACTTATTATACTATATGTCAAACAGTCCCAAAAATGGTAGTCTATTTAAGGAGGAAGACGCCAAAACTATATTTGAAGTGGAGCTGGCTAACCCTGTTCAAGATTGCTTTGCCTTTCTTGTCGCCCGTGAAGTTGACAAATCAATAACTTTTGTGTATAGATGAAACAATTCACAAAATTCATTGATGACAACAGCTTGATGATACCAGGATCAGGCTAGACTGACACCTACAAAATATTTTTTGCGATCTCCACATCTCATCAACTAGAATCAATAGGGAAATATAAAGTTGGCGAAGAAGCCAATGGTGGAATTGACACATTAAAGAAACCATGGGAGCAAACAAGAGGTTAGGTGAAGGACAGAAGAACCGATGAATTGCTCAGTAATGTGTCATAAATCCTGGTTCATGGTCGCACATGCAACTTATTGTTTTCATATTCATACCAGTATATCATGCCATGGGGTAATAACACAACACAGTTTTTCGTCTGCTCTTTCTCGTGCCATCAGCTGCAATGTATCAATTAATCTACCCACTCATCTCACCCTTTAGATCCTGTATTCCTTGGTGTCCCGTCATGCCTGAAAATTTGCCCTCACAAAAAATGTATAGATTCATTGTGATTGAGAAAGACAGGCAGTGTTTTTGGTAGTACTCAGATTTAGATTTCCATGAGAATAATAACTTCTGTAACTCACCATTCAAAAGTAGCTTAAATTTCAAAATATGAAAAAGATCTCTACAATTAAAACAGAGACCCCGGAATGGGGGAATCAACAAAATCCTAAAGCAGTTAGTTGGAAGTTACTGTCTATAAATACTATTACAAAAAGTCTGGGTATATTGCTATTACTTTTTATTATCCAAGAGTTCAATCAAAACCAACAACAGCCATATGAACCAAAATTAACCAAGGAAGTTCATGATCACCAAATGAAGCACCAAATTACAGAGAACAAAATCTGCAAAAGCTCGCTCAGGTGCAAGATCCTGCAGTACGATGAAACGTCAAATACATGTAAGAACATATTAAGTGAACAAATAAACACACAAATATGAATTCATTTCATTCTTGTTTTGATTTTCCGTGTTAAAGATGTAGAGTCCTAGTTTAAAACTACACCAGTTAACCAGATTGTTGAAAGATAACATGATGAATAAAAGAAACCAAACCAAAAAAATCTTATGGGTTGCAACTTGCAAGGGTAATTGAAGGTTCTCAATTATAATATATCAATTGAAAGATAAAAATAGACAAGACAAGAAATCTTACCTTGAATTCCTTATTCTCTTTATTCACTTGGATCCTGAGACAAACTGGTCCACAATGAAGGTGGAAGACAATGATCAGAAAGAAGACAACAAGATTTATACATACGTTTGTAGCAGGTATATAAGTCCCATAATGTGCAAATGTATCTTAGTAGACTCAGAGGGCCCATAGTGTACCAAAATGTGTTTGTGTGTGCATATATTCATAACAAGCTACCCTACAAATTTAGACCTGGAACACTTACCAGCAAGAACAGCAGTTCCAACACAAGAGAGCACTCCTGATAGGAAGGAGTTAAAAGGAAATGATCCCACCAAAGCTATGTAAACTACCTGTTCACAAACAAAATGTAAGAATTTGGTTTTTGACACATGCAACTTAACATAAGCCCACAAAACAACTTGAACCCTCATCAAAAAGATTAATTTAATCGCTACATTATTCTTGTAAAAGCTAGAAGCAGCAAGAACATCCAATAAAGAAACAGGATTACAAAGTTCTGGAGGCACTTCCTGGATCCACACCCGTGTGCAGTTTCACCAGAACATCTAAGGCACAAGCTAGCTTATTGCAACCCTCCACTCTAAGGTCATAATAGGAGGGATTTGTGATTGCACATTAGAGACCCTTATTCAAGGCAATCAAATTCTGCTTCTATTCCAGTAAACAGATATCAGAGGCTAATAGAATAGCAACATCAATCCTTGAGCTTTGATTATTAAGAGAAGAATGAGTCTTCCATTAACAAATTCTGCTTCTATATCCAGTAAATACAGATCAGTGGCTAATCAAATACCAACATCATTCCCTGAGGTTTCATTATTAAGAAAAGGAGAAATCAGCCATCAAGCAGGAGCAGAAATGGCTAGATATATATAGTAATATAAAAAAAACAGCGCCAACGACCTCACATATCAATAACCCAAAAATATTTGCTTCCCCGGACCAGGCACGTTTGATTTCTTCAATTCTTATTATTTTCAAAACTGTTTTCCTAAAGATTTCCACACTACTCAACGACCAATTTCTCTTCCAAAATCTAAATTAAAAAGCTGCTCCCAAAACAAGTGTTCTGAAAACCACAAAAACAGAAACAGCTGGGAGATGCTTTATCATTCTCTTCCTCTGAAGTCTTCAGTGCTTTGTTCAAGTGAATGAGAGGTGAAAACAGCGAACATGTTTGTTCATTGATTACATTTCAAATAAACCAGAAAACCGAAATGTAATCAAGGAACAAACATTTCAAATGTGATCAAGAACAACTAAATTTTAGAAAACAGTAAACGAACAAGGCCTAGATCTTTTGAATTCAAATATATATTTTATTTTCAAATACCAAGGTAGCATGGCCAATAACAGCGTAAAACTCAAATCCTTCAAGTCAAATAAAAAGCATACTGATCTGGAGCTGAATTTGATATTCAAATGAGCGGAACTGGATAAGCAAATGTTAATATAAAAAGGATAAAAAGACAAATGCAGTGAACGTAGTGGAAAGTACCTGGATGAGAGCGGTGAAAACAGCGAACATGACGTAGAGGGAAATTGATTGAAAAAAGAGCAGGAAGTGGGGGGTTNGAGAGAGATATATATATATATATATATATATATATATATATATATATATATATATATATATATAAATAAATAAGAGAGTGGCTAGGGTCACTGTTGTCACTTTGATAGATCCGTAACTGGTAGGTTGTGGCTGATTGCTGATTTGAGCTAATGCGTTTTTATCGTCATTCATATTCCTTTTAAAAGAATAACTAGTTTTGAACATAAAAGAATACTTACATCTTCTTCATGCTGTTTTTAAAGGTGTTTCCAAACTGTTATCATGGTGTAAAGTGACATTTTCTGACGTTTACGTTGCATATAACTCCTCGTTATTAAGTGCTAAAATATTCACTTCTTCAACCAAAACAAAATTTAACTACATACATCCTTTTTGCTGCATTTTATCGTTTTGTCCCTTTCTATCACAATATATAACATCTCTTCTCGCGTCATTGGGAATGAACTTGATGAATCTTGCATATGACGATGATATTTCTATTACTTAATGCATGAGTTTTTTTTCCTAAAGTGATGTACGAATAAAAAAGTTGAAAAAAAAATACTGCAGTCACTCCTTTTTTTTTTCCTTTTCCTTTTTCTGATATCGTTTTTGGTATCAAATATGACAAAACATAGCATAGAACAAATTAAGACAGGGAAAGCACCAACTTGCAGGAAAACCATTTTATATTAATTAACTTCCAAAAGAAATCTCTTTCCAAACATAAACTAACGGATAACAACTCATCTAAAAGAGTTAGCCATATATTATCACCATATGCATAAGGACATAATACTTATCGAAAGGATGTACTTAAAATTTATACAAAAAAAAAAAGACTTTTGTTATGATATAACTTCTCCTGTACGTATTTAATTTAGCTATAATTTAGACTCTCATATACAACTGTGGTTATAAATTGGTGTTAAGAGTCTCATCGCTTCATTTGCTTATGTTTGGATCAAGGAATCCATGGTAGAGAGATGTATGTGGAATGATGGAAGTTGTTTGGATTGTGTTTGTAGGAGAGAGCGTTGATGGAATTATTTTATATTGAACATGGTAATATTGAACATTCTATATATAATTATTTTATATTATGGGAATAGAAAGATTAATAATAACAACACTATATTTATTAAATAATCGTTTTTTAAAGTGATACGTTTTATAATTAATTTTAAGCAATAACCAGATAAAACATGTAAAGGAAGTGTGGTCAGCATTTATCAACGTAATGTAATAATAAATCTACACACATGTATGGTAATTACTTTAAAAATCTCACAGAAGTGATTTTTGATTATGTCAACGTACAAATTTGTCAAACTAAAAAACGGGGAGAAAAAACTAAGTTGGAATTCAATGGAAGAATGATATACTCAAGAAAGCGAAAGCGACATGTACGACGCACGGCTTAAAGCGTAGAGAAATATAAACCATACTAATCCAACGAAGAATATTCAACAAAAGCATGATAATATTTTACACAAGTCCTCCTGCATTTTTATCATAATTTCTAGAAGTAGAAAATTGTAATTATTAATAATTAAAAGACTTGGTAATTGGCTTTGAAGACAGAGTTCAGTTTTATCCGTTCAAGAATCGGCTCCGTTGGAAAAGGTCCACGTGTCACTGGTCGCAGAGTGGCGCGTGGGTCCCAGGGAGACGAAAAGCACGTGTGCCCGCCAATCCCACGCTCGCACTCACCACATACGAACGGATCCTATCTTTCTCTCTCTCACCCTCTCTTTCGGGTTTGATCTTTGAAGAATGAGCATGACCGGTTCTTCAGCTTACTGTGTGGTACACGCCTTCCCTCCCTTCTTCCGCCTCTCCAACAAAACTATGTTCCTTCTCTCCACGCCGCCAACCACATTCTTACCTACGCCTACAACTCCTAGGGTTCCGCTTCTCTCTTCAACCGCTTCCTCCTCCTCCACCTCCTCCTCTTCATCCTCCTCCATCTCTCTGCGATCTTCCACTGCGCCCTCGCCTTCCTGCTCCTCCGTCACTCCTCAAGACAACTCTCTCGTTTCCGCCAAACATTCTCACCCTAACATGTCCGCCTCCGTCTCTTCCCGGACCTTTCTCAACGCTCGGAGCGAACAAGGTTCACTTCACGTCTCCTCTTTCCTTTTATTTAGTTATTTATTTATTTTATTTCCTATCTTCGCACTTCGTTTCTTCTCTATATATCTATCTTTATAGCCAGCCTCTTCGATTTCTTTTGCGTTTCTTTATTTTCCTCGTGGAGGTTGCTCACTGCGGCTTCGCTCGATTTGTGTTTCTATTTGCTTATTGTTTAAATGTTGAGTTCAAAATTGAAATGGATCGAGAAAGCGCGGCTAGGAAGTTTGGAGGCTTACCTGAGGAGACAGTGATTGTGTGTGAGGTTTTTCTATTATTTTATTTTTATCCTTTTTATGATTTTAGGCGCTGATTGAGGTTTGTGTTTTGGTTGTTGGAAATAAATAGCGTTAAATTGGTGGCGTGAGTAATTTATTCTATCTGTTTTTTTCTTCTAATGGACTGTTCGGTTAGGTGATGAACATAAGAATATTTCCATTAATTTATTGTTTTTATTTTATTTTAGTTTTTAATGTGCGGATGATGTTTTGAGTCTTGTCCTATTTATTTGTTGTGGAGATTTGAGAAAGGAGATAATGAAAGTTATAGAGTTGAGCAATAGGGGACTGTAATGATCAGTCTGTGTTCAGTTGCAAGGGTGTTCACCTAACTATTTCTTTTCTAAATAGAAATGTATTCAGCCTCGAATGAGAAGTAGCAAATATTGTTTTTCGGATGTTTATCATATTTATTTCTTTTTTGTCTGAATTGGGTTGAGCTTCAACTTCTTGTTCGTAACAATCCATCTAGTTTGAACATGTGCATTATTTCATGAGGAAATTTTGGATTAAGAAGCTCTGGCAATCCCTGAATTAAATCATTTTAATTAATTTCTGTTGTTTTTTTTCTAATCCTAAAAATTGGTTTTCCTTTATCACATTCACTGATTATTTTGCAGACGTTTTTGCCGGAATCAAGAAAGAAGTAGAAGCTGGATCTCTGCCTGCCAATGTTGCTGCAGGAATGCAAGAAGTGTACAATAACTATAAAAATGCAGTAAGTTTATATTCACGTGCACCCTGTACTGTCATATGAACTTTTTCTAATATCTGTGGTGTGGGAACAGATATTAGTTCACTCATAATTCACAATGAAACTGAACTTCAAAAATCATGTCCTTCTAGCATATTATTGCCTATCGTCTCTGTCATCTATCGTTGTTTCTTTGGTTCGTGCATTGACACAGTTTATTATAATTTTGGTGTTTGGTACTCTTTTTGTTGCTGTATTAATGATGGTTTCATACGTTGTTGGTAAAATTTTTATTACTTGATTATCAATTCCAATAACAAATCATGGTTATTCCAAACGCAAGCAATCTAGTTATTTGAGATCTTGCACCCATGTTTGTGCTTCGACAAATAAAATCTGTCTTTTTCATATTTTAATTGGTACCTGTATCTTACTAGTCTTGGAGTGGGTATTGTTTAGAATATCGAAAATGGGTTGGTTAGCCTTAGTTTTATACTAATTCTCTTTTTATCATTTTTGCATTTGAAAGAGTCAAATAACATACACGCATTTCCTTTTGTGTTCTATGCATTTCAGGTTATCCAAAGTGGAGATCCCAAGGCAAATGAGATTGTACTGTCAAATATGATTGCTTTATTAGATCGAGTATTTTTGGATGTGACGGTAGGAATGACTTCCGGAAAATACCATGTTTATTGTTTCCACAATGGGAATATTTTATTTACGAATTTGTCATAGCTTTTTGACTAATGCTGCAGAGTTAGTTTCATATTGTTTCATGTTATTAGTTCTCATTCTCCGAACATCATTGATCTTTAACAGGATCCTTTTGTTTTTCAACCACACCACAAGGCAAAGAGAGAGCCTTTTGACTATTACGTGTTTGGGCAGAATTACATCCGTCCTTTAGTTGATTTCAAGTGAGTTTACTAGCAATAGTTTCTCTTTATACTGTTTAGTTGAAATCAAATTTGTTTATCCGTACATTTTATTCTTGATCATCTATGCACATGATTATGAAAATTTTAACGTGTAAGAAGAATGATCTCCTTGAATTGAGCATTTTGTATTTTTAGAAAGTTTATTGCTACAATATGGTAGGTTCTGAAGAATTTGTGAGAAATGTATTAGGAAATCTAAAAGGTGGTATATGCAGGGAGTGTCCATAACGAAGGGATTATATATATATATATATATATATNNNNTAATAATAACAATAATATATATATATATATATATATATATATATATATATATATATATATATATATATATTTATATATATATATTTTTTTTTTTTTTTTTTTTTTCTGAGGGGAGGGGAAGTTAACGTACAGTGTGTATGTACAGGCCCTATTGGAAATTTAAGTCTCAATGTGTTTACGCATGGTGTTGAAGCTAATGGTATCAAGAACAATAGCAATGCATTTATGATGATTTTTAGGTTTCTTCTAATGGTGTACAAACTACAAATACAATGTACACATGATTAAGGCATATCTTGTATGAATTCTGCTGTCTGCACCTTCCAATAGTCGACAGCCCTTTGATCTCTATGAATTTTTGCTTGGTGGTTAATGAAATCCCATAATACAGTGATTGTTATGCATATAAATAAATGTAAGTTAATAGTTTGATTGATAAAGCTTCCTGGAGAAGCTTGTAAGCAGAACACAACACAATGTGTGTCTAATCCTGTGTGGTTTGAGCTATCAAACTATAGTATATAGAGCAAGAAGGCTGAAGTTTTTAATCTCTCCCAATCTTTAAAAAATTCTGCTTCATTTTTTCAACTTTTGTGAGTGTATATTTTTTCTTTAGAAAAATCTGCATAGGCTGTTAATAGACAAACTAATTCATCTGTGTTGGGTCTTGATACAAACAAGTTTATGAAAAAGTGGAATGGGATGCCTACTACCGGTATGTAATTATGGTTGTGATTATTTTGGACGTTATGCGTGGTTGACCATAGAATAGAAATGATAAAATAAGATTGAAAAACCCTTTTCTTAATTGGAGCTGTGCCTTTGCAGCATTCTATGCATTGTTACTGGCCATCCTTCTCAGTTTTCTATGTGCCCTCAAAAGGAGGTTTACTATGAATTGGTGATGCATACAGAACAGGCAACATTACTGTTGTTCAGCGTGACTATCCTCATATGATTTTATTTCTCGTGTTATCTGGTAGTTAATTTGATTCTTCCTAGTTGTATCTAGAGAAGAGCTTTTGGTTTAAATGAATTAAATATTCCCTTTCCTGCAGATGTTAATTTAAAGGTTTGGAACCATGCCAATTACTTCAGAAATAGGCTTCTCTGTTGCATTTTCATAGAACTGTATACTACTAATAGCTATCTAAAACACTTCCCGATGTGTAATCCCTGGGTGTAGCAATCTGTATATCCCATTTATATTCATGGCACTTAAAGGCTCATATATAATAAGCTTGTATCAAGACAATGTCTATTCCATTTGCCTGCACCTCGTAGCTATTCTTAAAGGTGATATTTTTGTTGCAGAAATTCTTATGTCGGCAACATGCCCCTTTTCATTGAAATGGAAGAGAAACTTAAGCAGGTGCCAATTTTTAATATGCTTTCTTCATATTGAGGGATTATTTACTGTTAAGTATGGTAGAATTAGTAATAACCTTATATCACCAAGTAGGGTGAGGGTAGTGACCTAAAGTCCAGTATTTCTCCTTTATTACTTCTATCTTAACCCATATGTCGGTATCTATGCATGAAGCATGTAACCTATTAGGAGTTTATGTTTATTAGATATGTAAAAGTCTTAAGTTTAAATCTTAGGTCAAGATTGTGGGAATTGACCGTAATGTTTTTCGATTTCCCTTTGTTCTTTATGTTAGTTTCATTATTGTAGCATGAACTATTCTTAATTGTGAATCTGCATTACTATTATACCATAAATCGATAGCATCATCATAAGATTGTCCTACTATTCTAGTAGAAGTTAGATACTAAGTTGATGTTTGTAATGCTTCTGCTGTATCCTTATAATTTTTCTTGTAAGTACTGCTTATTACTTGTGTATCAGATATATACGGCCTAAAAGAATTGTCCTGTACTTTACATGAAATGCTAAACTTGATTCTGATTTGTGGGTCCTGTATTTTTGCCCTATGTTAACATTTTCATAGATGTGGGAGAAAATCTTGAAAGAATTAAAAAATTACTGCAGGGGCACAACATCATCTTGATGTCAAATCATCAAACTGAAGCTGATCCGGCCGTCATTGCATTGCTTCTTGAAGCACGACTCCCATATATAGCTGAAAACCTGGTACAGTTTGCATCATATTTATTGTCTGGTTATTTTGCGGGGCTGTACATATTTATAATCCTTGAAGTAATTGAATTATGTGATTTGTTCCGCAGACCTATGTTGCAGGAGATAGAGTTATAACTGATCCTCTGTCCAAACCATTCAGTATTGGCAGGTTTATTTTTGTTCTTCTGTTTATCGAATTAAAGATTTGTGATGTTATATTTCCTTCTATAAATGAAGTTGAATTCTGAAACATTTTACTTATACTTTCGTTTTAATAGGAATCTCATTTGTGTTTACTCTAAAAAGCACATGCTTGATGATCCAGCACTTGTAGAGATGAAAAGAACTGCAAACATACGAGCTCTGAAGGAAATGGCTATGCTTTTAAGGTATATCCCTTGGTTTATGGAGAAATGGATGCTTCTATTTAGGAAAAACTAACAATTGGCCTTAAGGTACTGATGAAAGGAAGAAAAATAGAAGACATTTATCATAGAAGTATTTAGTTTTTAAAATTTGAACCCAATTACCTTGTTATTTGTTTTCTTTATGAATAATTAGAGACATTAAATAGGGTTTCTTAATTATTATCCAATGCCCCAGTACACTTTATGCAGAGCATATCAATTATAGTGCATGCTTATTAGTCAATTCCCTTAGTACACTTTTTTCAGACCATAATGCATCAAATTGAGTCCCGTTTTCAGATCATAAAGGAAAGAGGAAGTAAAAGCAGTGGGCATGTTTACTTTAGATAGTATTTTTTGTATGTAATGGTTATTGATTGGTCAAATGTCCATCATCTTGGCCTTTTGGTACAGGAATGGTTCACAGATAGTCTGGATTGCCCCTTGTGGTGGTAGGGATCGCCCAGAAGCCCAAACCAGAGAATGGGTGCCGGTATGTTCACCCTCTTGTTAAAGTAAAATATAAAATGTGTGGCACAGTTTTATTTTAGTCAACCTTCATTTGCACAAATATAGCTTTTGACATTGACTAGTGGGACAGATTGGATAAACTTCATAACAAGCATTTAGAGGAAAAGAAAATAAAGTTGAAACAAATCAAATTCCTCTTACAGATGACAGTTGACTTATGTATGTCAACTTTAAAAGAAGCTAAGCGACAAACATCTAAAAAGATTGAAATGCACAATTTGATTTTAACTTGTATGATAAGTTTGAGTTTTTACTTTATTTCCTTCTCTTATATGTGGCTATTGAAAAGTTTGTATTGGCATTTAGTGCTCCAATCTTGTACACTTCCAGAAGGGTACTGCAACTCTTGTTCATTATGGTTATTCTGTTATATGCTATTAGAGTATATTCTTAGAAAAGGATTAATTGGTAGGCAGTTATCTTGTTTAGAAGAAGGCATATCTTGTTTGGAGGCAAGCAGGATGTGAGTCAGATATAGTGCTCTATTTAAGCACCATCAATTGTTTGCAAAGGTTGCTTTGTGAATTTTATTTTTTAAAATAATGAGATGTTATCTGATCCAGTGTTTGATTCTACAGTGAAAACTTATTCCACTTGTTGGGCAATAATTTTTTTATTTTTTTGGAGGGGTGGCTAGAAATGAAATCCTGATTTCCGGCTTGTTGAATATAGTGAAAAACTATATTTGAGATTAATCTCCCTTGTGTTAAATACACACATAGGGTTCTCTATTTATAATAGAAAAAATATGGACTAAGTCCAAAATACAAATAAGAAATAATAACAAACTAATTAAAAGATAAAAGATAAATATAAAATAAAGATAATATATCTAACACTCCCCCTCAAGCTGGTGCATACAAATCGTATGTACCAAGCTTGTTACAAATATCTGCTAATTGATCACTTGAATTGACGAATTCAGTCTTGATATCTCCAAATACAATCTTCTCTCGAATGAAATGACAATCAATTTCAATGTGTTTGGTCCTCTCATGAAAGACATGATTAGAACTAATATGAAGAGCAGCCTGATTGTCACATATAAGCGTCATTTGCGTGACATCTCCAAATTGTAACTCTCTAAGCAATTGCTTAAGCCAAACAAGTTCAGAAGTGGCTGAAGCCATAGCTCTATATTCTGCTTCTGCACTAGATCTTGCCACAACACTCTATTTCTGGCTTTTCCAAGAGATCAAGTTACCACCAATGGAGACAATATCCGGATGTATATCTTCTATCAGAAGGAGATCCTGCCTAATCAGCATCAAAATAACAAACCACTCTTGTATGGTTACTAGAACCATATAACAACCCTTTTCCAGGAGATCCTTTAATGTACTTTAATATACGAATAACTGCATTCCAATGATCTTTACATGGGGAATTAAGGAATTGGCTTACCACACTAACTACAAAGGAAATATCAGGACGAGTAATTGTAAGATAATTCAATTTTCCAACTAGTCTTCTATATTTCTTGGGATCTGACATAGGCTCCCCCTGTTTTGGTAGAAGTTTAGTATTAGGATCCATGGGTGTGTCCGCAGGTTTTGAATTCATCAACCCAGTTTCCTCCAAAATATCTAGTGCATATTTCCTTTGAGATATAACAATACCATCATTGGACTGTGCCACCTCAATACCCAAGAAATATCTAAGTTTGCCAAGATCTTTGGTCTGAAAATGGTTACAAAGACTATCACTGCTTGTAAGAACAATGTCATCAACATATACTACTAAGTAGACAGATCCAACACCTGAGTGACGGTAAAAGACTGAATGATCTGCCTCACACCGAGTCATACCAAATTGTTGAACAACATTACTAAATTTTCCAAACCAGGCCCTAGGAGATTGTTTTAGGCCATATAAGGATTTGCGAAGATGACATACCAACCCAGAAGACTCCCCCTGAGCAACAAATCCTGGAGGTTACAAAGACTATCACTGCTTGTAAGAACAATGTCATCAACATATACTACTAAGTAGACAGATCCAACACTTGAGTGACGGTAAAAGACTGAATGATCTGCCTCACACCGAGTCATACCAAATTGTTGAACAACATTACTAAATTTTCCAAACCAGGCCCTAGGAGATTGTTTTAGGCCATATAAGGATTTGCGAAGATGACATACCAACCCAGAAGACTCCCCCTGAGCAACAAATCCTGGAGGTTACAAAGACTATCACTGCTTGTAAGAACAATGTCATCAACATATACTACTAAGTAGACAGATCCAACACTTGAGTGACGGTAAAAAACTGAATGATCTGCCTCACACCGAGTCATACCAAATTGTTGAACAACATTACTAAATTTTCCAAACCAGGCCCTAGGAGATTGTTTTTGGCCATATAAGGATTTGCGAAGATGACATACCAACCCAGAAGATTCCCCCTGAGCAACAAATCCTGGAGGTTGCTCCATACAAATCTTTTCTTGCAAATCTCCGTTAAGGAATGCATTTTTGACATCCAATTGATAAAGAGGCCATTGTTGAAGAGCCTCCATGGCTATAAATAAACGAATAGATGCCATCCTTGCCACTGGAGAAAAAGTATCACCATAATCCAAACCAAAAATTTGAGTGTAACCTTTGGCAACAAGACGAGCTTTGAGATGATCAATATTTCCATCAGGACCAACTTTGATAGCAAAAACCCACCTACAACCAACAACAGATTTCCCAGACGGTAATGGGACAAGCTCCCAAGTTCCACTATGCTGAAGAGCACTTAGTTCATCTAGCATGGCCTGACGCCAACCAGGATGGGCTAAGGCATCATTAATAGATTTTGGAATTGTCACATAAGAAATAGAAGAAAGGCATGTATAAAAAGGTGAAGACAATCTATGATAACTTAAAGCAAGATAATGTGGAGAGGGATTACGGGTAGAACGTATACCTTTTCGAAGGGCAATTGGAAGGGTAGACTCAATTGTCGGAGTAAGAGGAGACAAGGTAGTTGGCACTTCAATTGAGTCACTTAGTGGTTGTTGAGAAACACCTGGTGAACTAGGCACAATTGGAGGATCACAAACAACCTATATTGATAGTATTAGAAGAAGACATATCAGAAGAAGAATGATCATTAAAATAAAAGGAAGACTCATTGAAGGTGACATCTGCAAATATAAAATAACGATCAAGAGAAGGAGAAAAATACTTGTATCCTTTCTTTGATTTAGTAAAGCCTAAAAAAACACATTTGTGTGATCGAGGAGCTAACTTATCAAGACCAGGACCAAAATTATGAACAAAACATGTAGACCCAAAAACTTTTAGAGGTAATGGGTGAAGAGGTTCTTGAGGAAATAAGATAGAATGAGGTATTTTATTTTCTAAAATAAGGGCATGCGATTAATGAGATAACATGCATTAAGAACAACATCACCCCAAAAATATTGAGGAATGTTACCATGAATTAAAAGAGTACGAGTTGTTTCAATAAAATGTCTATTTTTACGCTCAGCCACCCCATTTTGTTGAGGTGTATAAGCACATGAAGTTTGGTGGAGAATACCATGAGAAGCCATAAATTGTTGAAAAGAATGGGAAAGATATTCACGACCATTATCACTACGCAAAATTTGAATAGAAACACCAAACTGAGTTTTAATTTCATTATAAAAAGTTTGAAAATGATACAATAACTCAGAACGATTTTTCATTAAAAACAACCAAGTACATCTAGAATAATCATCAATAAAGGTAATGAAATATTGAAAACCTAAATTAGACTTAACACGACTAGGTCCCCAAATGTCAGAATGAACTAAGGCAAAAGGAGACGAAGCACGTTGTGAGACACTATGAGGAAAGGAACTACAAATATGTTTTCCTAATTGACACGACTCACAGACCAAATTGGACAACTTGGATAAACTAGGAACAAGTTGTTGTAGTTTGGCAAGACTGGGATGACCGAACTGAGCATGAAGAAGAGATGGAGACTCCATAACTGCCCCAATATGTGTAGTGGGGCAAAGATGATAAAGACCATGAGACTCACATCCGGTGCCAATCACCTGTCTCGAACTCCAGACTCACATCCGGTGCCAATCACCTATCTTGAACTCCGGTCCTGTAAACAAACAGAATCTTTGTCAAAAGAAATATCACAATCAAGAGAACGAATTAGACGACTGATAGATAATAAGTTAAAAGGAGACCTAGGGACATAAAGAACATTATCAATGGATAAAAAAGGAAAAATGTTAACAGTCCCAACACCATGAGCTAAAACTCTAGATTCATCAGCCATTATAACAGAAAGTAAAGGATTTGAGAGGTCAAAGAGGAAAACAAAGATTTGTTACCAGTAATGTGATCTGTGGCTCCCGAGTCAAGAACCCAAGAGTCAAAAGAAGAAGATGGACTCAAACCAATAAAAGATGTACATGTGTGTGCTACAAATGCAGTGGAACTAGAAGGTTGTTGATCCTTATACCATTTGAGAAATTTATTGAAAATAACAGAGTCATCACTAATATCAGATGAAGGAGGATCCCCAGTAGGTGATTGTGACGAAGAAGTAGTCTGAACAATTGCAGCAGATCTAGGAGGGCGACCATGTAATGCATAACACCTGTCAATCGTGTGGCCTACCTTGCCACAATGGTTACACTTGAGACGTCCTTTTCCTGGTTTGTGAGAGTGATTGCGGTCATGACGTTGAGATGCCAACGTAGAGGAAACATATGTATCATTGATGGGTCTAGTAGGTACGCGCAAAAGAGTGGAACAAGTAGAAGTCAAAGTGGGAACAACAGGTGAACCCAAAATCTGATCACGAACATGAGAATACTCATCAGCAAGGCCGTGCAATGCTAGCAGCATGAAGAACTTTTACCGTTGCTCTATTTCTTTGGCAGGAGTAGAAGCAGGAGGCAATAATTCATTAAACTCATGAAAAAGAGCATGAATTTTACCCATATAATCAGTCATAAAGTCGTGACGCCGAGGAGCAAGAACATTGAGAAGATCATGACAAACACCATAAAGACGTTGAGTATCATTGGTGTATAATAATTTAGCGTGTTCCCAGATTTCAAAACATGTTTCGTAGGAACGAAAAATTTGTTTCAAAGAGGAATGAAGGGTACGCTTGAGAACAATGCATAACTGAGCATCAACTTTCAACCAATGGGTAACTGCAGCGGAATCAATAGTTGTCACATTTTGAGTAATATGATCAAGATACCCTTGACTCTTAAGCCAAAGTTTAACGTCTGATGCCCAAGTCGCATAATTAGTACCATCTAACTTATCAATAGATAAATGCACATTGACATAGTTAGCATATATGGACGGGTTAGAAGCCATGAACAAGCAAGAGAGTACAAAACCTAGAACTCAAAAGAGGCCCAATCAAGGTGGTCGGTGATGGAGACAACGACACTAATGTTGGTGACAACAACTCTAACAACGACAGCGGTTGTAGTGGGCAGGACCAACGAACAAAAAACCTTATGCTCTGATACCATGTCGAATATAGTAAAAAACTATATTTGGGATTAATCTCCCTTGTGTTAAATACACTCATAGGGTTCTTTATTTATAATAGAAGAAATATGGGCTAAGCCCAAAATACAAATAAAAAATAATAACAAACTAACTAAAAGATAAAAGATAAAGATAAAAGATAAATATAAAATAAAGATAATATATCTAACACGGCTTAATATTGAGTTTGCTCAAATATTGATTTTTTGGGCCATGGATTATTTCACTTGTGTTATATGTTATAACTGTACTTCCATTTGAAGTTGTTATAGCCTTGTGCTGGTCTGCATGTAATCTGTCCTTTATTCTATGTAAGAGAAATTGATTTAAACATAGGAAGGTAAGTTTGAAGGAGGCGGTATCCAATATCCAATACTTGGTTGGTGCTTGTGGGGTATTTATAGAAGGGGTCAGAAGTATAGGGTATCTATATATATCCAATATCCTATTTTGTGAATGCAGTCATGTAGAATGATGACCTTAAGATGTGTCAGTGTCATTCGTTCTAATTAAAAATATTGCACAATTTCCAGCTCCATAATATTTACATTACCATTTTGTTGATGTTTTGGCATATTAATATTCAGGCACCCTTTGATATTTCTTCGGTAGATAATATGCGAAGACTTGTTGAACATTCAGGTCCACCAGGTCATGTATATCCTTTGGCAATATTATGCCATGATATAATGCCACCTCCACTGAAGGTATGGTATTCCTGTCTTTGAGAGTCTATCCTAATGTTTTATCTTTTATTGCAACCATATAATTTTGCAGGTCGAGAAAGAAATTGGGGAGAAAAGAATTATATCCTTTCATGGGGCTGGCATATCAGTGGCTCCAGCGATAAGCTTTTCTCAAGCCACTGCTACTTGTGAAAATCCTGAAAAGGTGAGTTTGATGACTTGTACTGAACTAAATTTATTGTCATTTATTTTTGCAGTTTTCTTCGTAGAATTCACTTTTAATTTTTTTTAATTCAAACTGAGAAGATGTGACTGCTTAAGAATGGGATACAACATGAAATGATTTATAAAGTTGTATTTTTCTTTAAGAAATGCTTTTTTGTGTGACAAATTTTACAAAAAAGAAAGAGAATGGGATGTAATGGGTACTGTGATAGAGAGAGGTGTTAATGTGTAAGTTGTTATATGGCATTACAAAATAGTATAATGAGTCATGTGAACCTATAGGCTTCCTACCCTCCTGACTTGTGGAACTCTTGTGTGCCAATGTATTCTGGGGATGTACAAGACACCTACAATATTATCTGGTTGAGTGTAGTTTTTCGTAATACGATGAGCACTGAATGATTCTATCTGAAGCTAAAGGATATGTAAACAAAGTCAGTATTATGTATCCTTGGGTTCCCTGCTCGTGTTCACTTATTATTTTTTGTTGTAGTTATTTGAATTTGGTAGTGCTTTGATTCATGAAATTCAGTATCTGGAAGGTTCTTTTATTTTAACTTGGATGATACAGTGTGCGTTTTCTGCGTAGGCTAAGGACGTTTTCACAAAAGCCCTGTACGATTCTGTGACTGAGCAATATAATGTGCTGAAATCTGCTATACATGGAAAAAAAGGATTTGAAGCATCAACTCCTGTAGTTTCTTTGTCACAGCCATGGAAGTAGTTGAAATCTGCATCTTTTTCGTTACACTGATGCAGGTACAATTCCAACTACAGAAATTTGATATTTTGCTTGCTAGTGTTTTATTGTACAACTTGTAGGTTAGAATTAAAATCCTAGTTATTGTTGGGAGTTCAAATACTTCTGTACACGCTGGTATTTTGTTGATGTTTATTGCTTTTGCATGAAATGCATGATTTTCTTGAGGCTTGAGCTCAATTTATTATTGTTGGGAGTTCAAATACTTCTGTACACGCTGGTATTTTGTTGATGTTTATTACTTTTGCATGAACTGCATGATTTTCTTGAGGCTTGAGCTCAATTTATTATTGTTTTTGATATCATTCTTCATTCTCAATGATATATAGCTGATAGCTTGCAATTTTTAATATGGTGAAAACGATAATAAGCCTTTATTTTTGGCAAATATGTTTTGGAGTTCTCGTTGATAGTTACTTGAAGCATGAGAATTGTGTAAGATGTTCATAGCACTTGACTGATTTTTCTAACTTTTGGATATTAATATGGTTCGCTTACCCCTAAATTAAAGATTTTTTAATCGTAATGGTATCAAATATAAATTATTGCTTGAATATTTCTATCCCGAGATACTATCTAGTTAACTTGTTCACAACATGAGCTTATTCGGAATTAAGCTAAACATTAACGATAAGAAGCAGATGCAAGCTCCAAATAAAATGCTTGTCTTTTCTTGAAACTTAAATTGTACATTAATGTGCTCTACCCTACTGACTCTATTTTCTTGGATGGAGGCTCCAACTGCTTTGTTCCCTTTCAGAAGCAAGTTGCAAGACTTCAGGCAAACAAATTCGACTGATTCCTTTGTGAGGGACTGCCTAATCACTACACCGAATGATTTAGCTTGATTGAAGAGTGCAGTCAAATACATATTTTTTGTCATTTTCCCTTTGCTCTTGCCGTTGTCAGCGTTCAATTAATCTGGAATCTGTTTCAGAAGGTTCAAACTCAGCTGGTTACTGTACAGGTCTCTCTTAGTTCGGTGTTAGATCCGGTTCATTGGCTGATAAAATACTATATTTATCTGCAGTTTTGTGATCAGGTTAGTTAGCTGAATAGATAAAAATCTAATTACTACTATTTGTATTTTTAATGATGTGAACTTTTTCAATAATAGAGGAATAGATGTTAATATTACATGTTCAGAATAGAATTGTTCAGATGGAATCATTACATGTTCAGAATGGAATTGATCCAATGCTACTTCATGTTGGCGACATAAAAGTTCTACAGTTACCGTTATTTTCTCGTGTTTATCATTGTTTGCAATGATGATAGCTATACAAGTTATGTGGAAACTCTTGGTGTCTGCAACAATATCATGAAAACATGGTACATTTATATTGTTTCCTGGTTAAAATAATTAGCTAATAATCTCTTGACATATTTAATCTAAGTAATTGGTTCGATTAAGCCCATCACTATTGCCGTGAAGCCTGAACGGAATGTTATAGCTATTCGTTGTATCTGTTTGGTAGCAGGCAAGTAGGATAAGTAGAAACACAGTTATGATCATTTGGTTGAATGGAATAGTGGAAATGAGGTGGGATTTCACAGTATTGATTTCCTCAATTATAGCTATTCATTTTCCCTCAATCAAACATCTTTAATTTTTATTGTATTTTTTTTTCCACAAGCTCCGAATCACTTTGTTTCTATTTCATTCACAAAATATTCTTCTCTTTTGATAGCTGGCATTGTTGTTTGTCTCGGTTCACCTTTGATTCTTCTGTTTCATACAGTGTTCAACGAATATTTCAATAATTTCAAAATAGCTATAGTCCCCTTTTATCTGATTGCAGATATTTCAAAATCTGACTTACGAAGTAGTTAGTAAGAAGGCAGCTTCTTCCTACATCCCATCAATTTCCGATTTTACTTTCCAAAATTCATTAAATCAATTCCGGAAAACTTCTGCCTGGGGTGTCTATTAGGAAGTATTTTTTTTTAGTAATACACGATATTACTAATTTCGCCATGCTCTATATCCATGATAATGGGCCTCGTCTTTATTTTCCTATTCTATTGATTGGCTATTGAAAATGATTTAATATTTAAGTTCATGCTTACTTGAAAAATGAATATTTTGCATTACCTCTTTTTTGCCTGGTCTCACTTTATTCAACTCATTTCCCTGAATTTTGAAAAACACGCGAATAAATCTTTGAGGACATTGCAAAGTTACACATCAAAAGCTGTCTTTATGTATTTCGATCCTTCCTTGCTCGATAGATCCTCATTCTGACCTAATACAACGTCACAAGGATCTCCGTGTTTTAAGCTTCAACCATTAATTTTTTATTGGATTATTGTAATCGAGCAAGCTCAGAGGTTGTTGTGACCTGAATCTAGAGTAACACTTTGCTTCGTTACTGTTGTTATTGTTAGTTAGCTTTCTGCGAGGAAAAAAAAATATCGGTCTAAAATTAACCCTCCTTCAGTCTTTGCTTCAATGGTGAAGATCTCTGAAATTTTAAAGTTTGGGTATTGACTAATAATCTCCAGAGGATGGGCAATTAATAAAATGAGAGTAAGTTATTATGAAAACTTGTGACTAGACTTAAAATGAGATGGCCTTCTTTCCTTTTTAAACTTGTAACCAGATGTAGAGAGTCAGAGAATTGGTGATTCCCCTTTCTTCTTTACCTCGACCCTTTTATGCGCACCTTTCTCCAAATTCTTGCCCTCATTTTTCCTTCAGCTTTCCATTTCTGTTATCCCTTGTAAGTTTCTGTTTCTAAGTATGGACATGTTTGAATAACAGTGATTTGATTTTACTACGTGTAGATATGGCAATAATGTCAGTGCCCTCAGAGGTGCATGCAAGACCCAGCCCCTGCAGTGCAGGATTCCAAATCAGTTAATGTGACCAATGCCTTTCCACTTTCCTTCTGTTTGCTATACGAAATACGAGAACGGGTCGACAACCAAGGTCACCGCCCCATTGTTTATTGGTTCAGTGTTCCTTTTTTTTATTACCCTCCACAACAACATCACCCAAGTAACGACATATGTTAAAATTAACATGCTAAACTACCAAATTCTTCATGTCTATAAATTTCATACATATCAACTAGGATCCAATCTACCAAAACAAACATGTCTCTTATAACATAATAAAACTTTAACTTCAAGACAGCATAAAATACCTCGAATTGATTAAAGTAAAATTCTAAGACGAGGTAAAATAAAGTAGTGCGTGATTCATATTTCAAGTTCCATGTACATAACAACTATTACGATCCAGTTCATAAAAAAACATGATGGCAACGGTTGTCTGGTCCCAAAAACCTTAGGTAGTAACGTTACGACACTGCTCATGTGTAATGAAGCTTAGGGGAACGTGATTTGAATAACCCTAAAACGAGTTGTTTGAGGTTGCATGCACGAGGCTCTGGAATAATGTCACATTCTGATGCAGGCTAAAAATTACTACTTTATTACTTACGATGACCAACGAGCTTCACCAAATCTTTCCGAGGACTGTGCATGTTCCTTCCATCACCCTATTCACCTTCTAACACCAAACTTTTGCAATATTATCCATAAATAACTCACTCTACTCCTTCCTTCAATTGGGAAGACGTTCTTCCTTTAATCCTTAAAATAATAAGAAAAAGGTAAAATAAAATGGCAATCACATTAGTTTAAAATTATAGAAATTTATGACTTTATAATGATAATATTAACCTGTACTTCGAAACTAAAATAACTGTTTACTCTGTAGTTTAACGAGTTGTTAATTATGAGTTATTTTTAATTTACTCCTATCTTTTTTTAAGTATTTGGTGTATGAATATTTGGTGAATACGTTAGATGGGTTTATTAAAATCACAACTGTAATAAAATTAATAAAATTGATGAAACTGTGTAGTTTATCCAAAAGGTATAAACTAAAAAAATCAAATTAATTAGTTTATGTATAAGCTAACTTTCTCGTATTATTTTTTTGAACTACACATTTAGACTGATTTTAATTTATAAAAAATCAATTTTTTTATTTTTATATTTGTTAAATCCTTCTGAAGAAGCCCTTCCAATCAATACACAGTAATGCAAACTGGAAATATTACTTTATTAAGAATATCATACATATGCTATATAAATTAATAACCTTTTGGTTAACCTATAGTAGTTTTTAGAAAGTTGGAGCAGATTAGAAATAAAAGAGAAATAAGTGAGCAGCATATAAATTCTTTTTGAATGTTCTAACCTTGGTTTTTGGTGAACTAAAGAAGAGGTTGAGTTTGCTTTTAATGTGTGAATGAAAAAAAGGAGAAATTGTGTTGGTTTGTTTAATCCTGAATTAGGAAGCATTATTGGGCTCTAAACGATGTGATTAATTATTATAAGTCGTCAATTATGGTACAGTTGCTATTGTCGAATGGCTTTATATAAAGGTGTTGGTCTGCCATTAAAAGAAGTTAATTTTTGGTTTATAAGCAATGTGGTCAGTGTCACTGAACCTTGTTGTGTTGACATGAAAGAAAGCCAAAATCAAAGTATAGAAATAGCGGAAAAATGTCAAAAAGGGAAGGAAGAAGAACTTCACTGCTTAAAATGGAAGTCACGTGACCCAAAATTAATTACACCCTATATTATTATACCAATAACTAAATACAAAAATTTCAAACAGTTATTTATTTGTTAAACAAATTATATCATTTAACTTCTCATTGCTTTACACTTATGTCAAATTATATTTTAAATTTTCATTTAAGATATTGTCGATTTAAAAAGATAAAAAAGTATATTTAAATTGCTTTTGTTCTCTGTTATGCTAAATAATGTAAAATTGTTAAAAGTATCGGAACAACTTTCATCTTCACTTCAAATATCAAAGGAACAAAATTTTAACCTATTTTTTATAATTTTTTTTCAAAAAGTAAAAAATATTAATTTAATAACTATTAATAATAATAATAAAACAAAAACAGCCTATAAGTGTAAAAGATATAATGAAGAAGCATAATCTAGAATTTGTTGAATAATTTAACGAAGGGAAAAGAAGATTTAGTAGAAATAGTAAAAGAAATAATAGGAAGTTGGCGTGTTGTCTGGATCGTAAAGGGTTGAGATAAGATAGAAGAGGAAGGGACCCCCACATATCTTTGCATGCATCCATTACTTCACAAAGTCAAATTTGGAATCATATATCATATGAACGAATGAATGAATGTCACTGCACTCCAACATCATACATAACTATGCAACCATTCCATCACTCACATCACACTCTTTCATACTTCCACTCCCACATCATTAATGTTACAAGTTTTTCACTTCCATGTCTATCTCACTAATTCCAAAATTTTTAATTATTTACTTACGTAAGAATTAAAAAATATTTTTTTATGAATGAAGTTTGATTATTTTATTATTAAATTCAAATTTATAAAAAAATTAATTAACTGAGTTTTGTTTTATAGAGATTATTATTCTTTTAGAATTCTTTTATTTTTTTTACTTTTTTTATCTTTGGTAATTTTTTTTTAAGGATTAGAAATTGTCATAGGAATCTTTAGAATTTTATTATAAATTCATTTTGTATCTTTTGTTGAGTTATTTTAAAAATTTCACTGACTCAAAAATGTCTAAGAATAATCTCTATTCATATAGGAGTATTAGAGTATATTTATATTGTTTATATAAGTGATAGTAACCTACTTGGCTAGGTTAGGTTAAAGCTAGGAGATGTGAGGGATATTTCATTGGATGAATGGTGCAAAAATGTGGTGGTAAATGGTCCAGTGATGATGAGCTAAGGTGTGGATAGGATAGAAACTCATGACCTCTAGGATATATGGTGGTGGTGGCATATTGTTTGGTGGCTCTAAGAGAGGTTAGACTAACTCAAGGAAGAAAGTGACTAGAGGGACCTCATGGGTTGCCTCCTAAAAATCCTAAAAGCATGATCTCCCACCTTTGCTCTCATTGACTAAAAATAAGGCCTTCTAAGGAGTGGACAAGTATCCACAAATTCTCTCCAATGATGAGAGGACATGTGGTCACTCACAAAACATAATCCTCTCCATTTATAGAGTGTCATGTGGCCACTAATAAAGTTAAATCCTCTCCAATGAAAACATGACACATGGCACATACTTTCCACTTGGTTTGGATGTCTAGCTTAAAGAAAATTCCTACACTAATTAGGCCTTAATATAAACCTTAAACAAACCTTACTTGGCCAAAATACATGACCTAAAGAAACCTACACTACTTGGCGAAAATACATGGCC